GTGCAACTATACATGTACGAATGATTCTGGGATCTTTTTTTATTCTAGCCTATTTTATTAATTTCCTTTACTTTTTCTTTCGGTCACTTTTATCAGTAGATATCACCCACTGTGATAATAAAAGTTCTGCTAAGAATGGTGAAATGTTGTAAGAGCCCGGGCACACAGTCACTGTAGATGAACTTTCACTCTCTAGATATTCATTACGTCGAAAGTGGCTCTTAAACATTGTTGTATTTGTGGATCTATCTCATTTGAAATTTCCCAGGAATATGGATCTGTCGTGGCAGTGATAATGACAATGTGTTGTTGAAATTGCTCCCACGTTCACCTGACTACCGACTTGAAGTATGTCGTGTCACAGGGGTGCGTATATTAAACATATGTAAAGCTTTGTGAAATCTTTTATAAAATCTACATAAAATCTGCATAATCTAGATAAATAAAATCTCCTTTCTTTGATTATCTTTTTCGAATTTTGATGAATAAATTATTCAAAAATATATAAATAAAGGGGGTGAAGGAGGAGAATAATAAGAGTATTGGCAATGTATCAGTGAAGGGTAAAATGAAATATGCATTTCTTTTCATCCTGGCTCATATGAACTCAAAAGGATTTTTTAGTATGTATTGAACGGGTCATAATTTCCGATCTCTCATTCAAAAGGATCTTTTATCATTGTTAACTTTTCTTGTTGACAAACTTTGCATATATTACTATGATTGTTGTAAAATTTGGCTTCTAATAAATTTCCAACCTGTTTAATTCCGTTTGCCAGTTGCATTTAGTTACTCAGATATTCATAGTTTAAATGATGTCATTGTTTTTTTTTTTTGTTCTTTTTTTATGAGGGGTACCATCTATATAGGATATCTGATAAAAAAAAAAGTATTGGAGTATTTTCTATGATACCGGAGCTAATATACGCAGAACGAAGCCGCTTGGCACAGTTTGACCTTGTACTCAGGCATGTCCCTGACATAACGTTCTCAATCACTTGCTTTGTTTATAGCAGTGTTGGGAAAGAATGTGTGTAGAGTGTGGTTGTCTCAACACATCACAGAGCATCTATCAATAACCATTTCCTTGTGCAGAGGTTTTTGGCCAAGAACAATACTTTCTACGTCAGAAAACCGCCATATTCGCGTGACTATTTCCTGTTTTCAAAAATCAAACCCCACTTGAAATGAACGCGATTGCAAACCAGACTCTCTAGAAACTTTCGTTACAAAAATACGTCAATGAAATTTGATCTCATAAAACTGATTTCTTACAAAGAATACATATTCTATTCATACGAATCTATTCTAAGAATCTTGTTGGCCTTAAATAAAACAATGCGATTGATATGCCGTAAAACAAAAGAAATCATACTAAACCAAGCTTTCAAGACCCCGAAGAAATCCAAGAGAATGTGGAGAGGCAGCTGCTCACTATGCTAAAATAAGGAGCTCCAGGAATGGTAACTACACTGGATAAAGTGTGAAGCTTCAGAAGAGGACTACTTCGCGGGAGATTAAATGATGAATTGATATGTTTTGTAGTTTTCTTTTTATAACACCAGTTCGATACTTTTTGATCAGATCTCGTATAACCTCTGCACGAGCGTTTCCTGTCTTTTAGAAAATGTTTAGTAAAATAACGTTTCGTAAAATTATATTTATCATTTTGGATGCTAACTGCGAAAACCTTCACAAATAACAAACTGCATTCTAATGGAGTTTTTTTTTAATCGTTTTACATTTTGCGTTGTTATCAGAAAAAAGACACACCCAAACATTCTGTTAAGAATATGTTTAAAGATATTGCTATCAGGCATGTAATTTGAAGACATCACTTTTAAATATTCCTGGATTTCTTCTTCTTTTAATATGTCACTACTTTTTAGATGTTTCCTTAGCAGAATTTAAATTGGGTAGAGATTAAATTTACCACCTAATCTCTAAGATCGTAAACTTTCCAACCTATGACACAACCGTAAGATCTATTCAAATATTTTTTTCTCGCACTTCTCAGTTGTGGAAATCTCTTTCAGTTTCTTTCTTCTTTGCTACCGGAAAAAATTAAATTAAATTTTATTGTCCGTTCTGCTAAGTAATGTCTTCTCATTCTGTTACAATCCCTACTAACACATTGCGTCTTAGTGACTTTATCACCTTGCTTGGGTTGAAATAATAAAAAAGAAATTCATTTGGGAGGAGAACGTCTTCAAACTATAAAAGAGAGATTTTTTCTTATTACACTATTTACAAGCGGAATATTGTCCTTATATTTGTTGTGGTTATCACAATGTTTCGATCGTTGCCCCCCTCCAGCCTTCATCGATTTTACGTTGAGTAAAAACATATTGCATGCCCAGTTACCTACAAAGAATTTCGGATTGAATCCATTATTTATTCTGTAGGCTGTAAATTGTTAACCTTTCACTGACCCTATAGGATTTAGTCTTTCCACGGCATGCAGCCATTAACGACATCATCAAAAGAGGTTTGGATGCAGCTGGGTTTCCTTCCCAAATCTAACCCGTAGGCCTCGACCGCGGTGATGGAAAGCGGCCGGATGGCATTACCATTTTCCCTTTTAAAATGGGGATGTCGTTGATTTGGGATGCGGCCTGTGCGGATACATTTTCAGTCGGTAATTTGATCAGTTCCGCGGTTGAGCTAAGATCCGTCGCCCGGGGCGCAGAGATTAAAAAAATAGTTAAATATTCTTCTCTTGCTGATAGATTTTTTTCTACTCCTGTGGCAGTGGAGACTTCAGGGGTTATTGGCCCTCGTTCGAAGGTGTTCTTTCGGAAGATTGGCGCGATTGCGTCTCGATTAAGGGACGACCCTCGCGAAACGGAATAGCTCTTGCAGCGTGTCTCACTGGCCATGGTTCGAGATAATGCTTTCTCCATCATTGTGGCTGGCAGAGGTTAGAAAAAATTGTTCTGGAATTGTCATCAGTGGTCAACTGTACTTGTTTTGTTCAATAAATTTTGTCTTTGTTTTCTTGCTGCTCAATTATGGCTCAACTCGTTTCCACTGAGTCTAAGGACACACTGCATGACCTAAGGATTGAACTCGAAATTACTATATCACTAAATCCTTGAACCATCGCTTCATTCAACAACGTTATTCTCCCGCGAATTTGCTGATATTGTAATTTGGAGTTCACACCAGCCATACTTGGGTTCAGTGAAAATGGGACAGTGACTACTAAAATCAGGGTTAGATGAGATATCTCTAAACATGGGGAGCGGAACGAAAACCATCTGGCCCCTTAGATTTCAGTTAGAAATTCATTGTAGATTACCCAGGTCGACATGCATACTGATGAAATGATATGATGACAATAACAAATAATGATAACTCCTCATTCTAGAAATTCAGGCAATTTGATATGTGCTAAATTTGAATATCTCTATAAATATCTATTTAAAAAAGGCCGGGGAGTAAAATGCTTTCATTTTTCTCATGTGTCAAATTTAATGATTATTTTAATTGACGCCCGTAAATTCTAAATTGCTCAAGGTCTAATGGGTAATTGAATGAATTTTCTCCGTTCGTACTTTCACTAATGGCGCAGTCCAAAGGGAAAAGATATTTATTTTACACGGCGATTATTTTTTTCATTATAATCTTCTGCGTAAACGTATCGTTGAATATAAATAAAATAGATATATCATTGAGTGAAAATTGACGTTCAAAAATTATCTAACAACTACGGCCCATCCGATAAACTTGTTACTCTCCTACCTTATCCGTGGAGCCTTGATGATCGTCCTTCATGGGAAGTATGTAAATTCAAATTTAAAAATGTGTTAGATTTTATGTTTTTTATTCATCATTTTCGTCTGGCAGTGCTGGGTAAAAAAGAAAAAAAAATGAAAAAAATTAGCATAGATAAGTGAAAAAATATCTTATGAAATTCTAAACGTATTTATGTTACTCCACAGTAAAATAGTTGGACAAAGATGCCAATCAATAGCACAATCTAAATCCATGTAGTCAAATCACAAGGGGAAAAAAAGCTCGTTAGAGCAGGTGCCGTGAAATATTTGTAGAAAAGACGTTTGAAATTGTTGTGCCGGAAACCTACCACCCCTCTTGAAGATGAACTTGTCTGCGTCTGTGAACAGAGACTTTAAATAATGGGAGATAGATTGACAGAGAAGTTCTTAGCTGAGCTAGTTACTGACTACTCAGGCGATTTCTGTAGCTTTTTACCAACCTATTAAAACCCTTTTTATTGTTACGTGTTATTTGGCGTTTGTCTCTACTAACCCCAAATCAACATCAGAACAGAAATCTACGTCACGTCGGTGGTAAAGTGAATGAAGTCGACATGTCTGGCCAGGATCGATTACATTACAGATGCTTTTTTGGAGTTTGTCAAGAACCTCTTGATGTACAGCAGGAACACCAGATCAGATACAGCAGAAGTATTCAATTTTTACGTTACAACAGAACCTACAACCGCTTCTTATTAAAGGAAATAAATTATTGTAATGGACTTGCGGGGAGGGGATTATATAATAAAATAGACTTGAATATTGATTACTTAATATTTTAGCCCTTTCAATATTTAGTCAGTTACATTCAACCATTGTTTGGTTCACTCAGCAACTGAAGAACCCTCAACGTACGTCGGCCTGAATATCGACCTTTGCAATATGTAAGAGAGTACACATAAATAGTTTTTTTTTGTTCAACCATTTATAATCAATTGTTTATTGGGGCGGTTTAAGATAAATTACTGTTAATTCGTTTTTTACGGCTTATCAACCCTTTGCAGGGTATTTAAAGCTATAAAATAACTCTAGATTTCAAGAATTCTTTTGAGATAATAAAGATACAAATCTTAATAATTAACTTGGGGGAAGAGGTCGATTCTTACCTTTCCCAGTGGAATTTACGCCCAATTGATTAAAAGAAGACCAACTGGATTTGAATCTCTCCACTCCAATTAAAAATTCCGAGCCATTATCTATTACACCAACCATATATCCAAGCTTACAGCACCTGGTATTCGCTAGCGGTCACCCATCTAAATACTGACCAGGTTCGATGTTGCTTAATCTCCAAAATAGGACGGGGACCGGTGTTTCTGTCTGATATAGCCGTTATCTCTTTAAGATAAAGTAAATCCTCAATAGATTTATTATCGTAGAAATCTAAGCGGACGTGAAAATATGATGGTAATAATAATGGCTGCAGATGTGAAGTCACGTGCTTCGGTGACTGGAGGTAATCACGTGTCCAGCCCTGCACATCGCTTATTTTGACGGTCGACTGAGAAATTTGAGTGTAATATCTATTCCGGCATAATACTGTACATACTGATGTAGGTCATATCACACAGCCGGTTCCATATGTCGTAATAAATTTCGCTTTGAATCGTATTAAACAAAATGAAAAAAAAAAATTGCTATCCGTAGAATCCGTTTAAACTGTGAATTTAATGGTTATTTGGATATCTTCAGGATTTTCTTCCTTAGGAGTTCACGCAATAAATGCATTCATTATTGCCAGTATCAATTTTTTCAACAATAACCAAAAAAAAAAAAAAATTCAAGAATCTATTTAAATGTTGTTCAGCGTCTTTTCATTTTACTCAGTGAAAGTCAAACATTTTTGCCTAGCTTCTAAATTATTGCCACGTAAACTGTGTAATAATATTTACAGAATACACAAGAAGGAAGGAAGGAGTTAAGCGAAATTTAAAGACAGTTTTAGAAAATTCTTTTTTTTTTTTACTGGGTGTTGAAATCGCTCACCACAACACAGTGTTGCCATATGGACAATCAAAATTTCGCCAAGCTTTTGATGAAGTTAAATGTAGCAATGGGTTCATTGTGAAAGAAGCTTAAATCTTCAGCAAAAAGCTTAAAACAAGGATGTGTGTTACTCCATTTGTCTTCACCAAAACGCCCGTCAGACAACGTTATTTAGGTCTATTAAAAGCAAATATTTTCTTCTCTTCCTTTTTTTGCTATTCTATCCAGATGTTGTTAAACATAGATAAAGAACGATACGGCTGAGGCACGTCCCTTTCATTACTTCATGGACTAATGAACATTCACACACACGCAAACACCGACACGTGTATCACCATCCTGTTGGAAGTCCCCATCTGTTGTCTCTTGTCTTTAATTGCTCTGGAGACCCTTATGACCTACCTAACTACGGTCCTATCAGACTCCTACCACTCCGGTAAAGTCTTCAAGGCTTTAATCAATGTTCAAGTAGTTAAGTACCTTAAACCCCATTGCTCTCTGACAAGCAATATGGCTTCCACTTTGCAGGAGCTTGTTTCACACGCACACAAGCACATAAGCGCATCCTTATAGGTTTTTTTTTTGTTTTTTTTTAATCGGTGTCATTGCATGTAAAGCAGTAACGCCATTAAAAATACAAGGTGTTACAGGGTGTGGAAGAATTAGAAACAGAAACATTAATGATGAACACAAAGAGAAGAGAGTAATCAGGAGGACAGTAGATAGCGATTGACATTCATTTAATTTTTTGTAGATTGAAATTGGCTAGAAAGCATGAAGCCGGAAGGGAGTTCCCCAAGTAAGAAGTTCAAGAGAAGAAACTGTTAGCATAGAACTTACGGCTTCATCTACCCAGCTCAACTGTAAATTGATGAAATATCGACGGCTGTCTAGGACTATGCTTAAATTAAACAAATCTGGGTACCATATGGAAGAGCGATATTTATTTGGGAAAAGACAAAATATGGCACAAGGTCAAGACAGGGAATGCAGTAAAGGACGGTCTACTTCTCTCTTAAATTTAAACTTAGCTAGCCACAATCACTGACTCAAATATACCACAATATTCATAACACTAAAACAACGCATTCTTACTTACGATTTTTACTCCAATCACCGTAATACCACATGGTCTCTATGAAAATCCTAAGTAGTCTCCATATATACAATTCATGTCTGTGGTGGTGGGTAGGAAGCTAATAAAACAACAACTTAAAAACTAATCCAGTGTGTATTTACAATATGCCATAGCGAAGAGCGATATTTACTTGTAAATAAATACAAAATGCGGCACAAGGCCAAAATGGTGAAAAGAACGGTCTTCATCTGCCTTAACTTTAAACTTAGCTAGCCACAAACACTGACCCAAACATACCACAGTATTTCTAACACCAAAACAACACATTCTTACTTACATTTCTTACTAAATCCACCATATTACTGCAATATCTCTATGGACGTCTTAACTAGTCCCCATATGCACAATTCATTGTTTGTGGGAGGAGGGGAATAAAATAAACAAACAACAATTTAAAAACTAGCCCTAGTGATTATTTACAATATGAAACACAAAACTATAGCGAAGAGCTAATCCGTACAATTACCATCGGAGTATTTATAAAAAAGACATAGAGAAGCAAGTTTATTGCGGTGTGAAAGTGAAGTTAGCTGAGCCAACAGATCAGTACCGATAATATTACTGATCCTTGATTGGGTCTTATCAAGGAGGTCAAGGTAAATAACAGAGGCACCGGGCCACGTGTGCAAGCAATATTCTAAGCATTGATGAATAGTCGTCTTATAGATATGTAAGATCGATTCAGAAGAATTGTCTCGCCCAACACAGTGATAATGATTTTTCATTTGAGTTCAATTGTACACACGTTTACTTCATTTTGTTAATGACATGCATTAATAATTCTTTTTCTTTTTTAAATTGCATGATTTGTATTTATTAATCTGATATCACAAAAGTCCACAAAATATTGTTTGCGGTATAAATATTCCAGGAGCAAATAAATAAGTAACGCCTTGCATCGTGAAAGTTTTATTGCCTTGCTTGGTGTTAAATTATTATAAAAATATCACTGGTATCAACGGCGTTAGATAGTGGCTGACAAGTTGGTTGAAATCTGTTTACAGCAACCGGGCTCATAGTCATAATAAATGAATCTCGATTGATATAATTTTTCGTGAGGAATTCAACAACACGCCCATGCTTTTATACCAGACATCATTGTGCCAAACTGCAATATGTAGAAATCGAAAATAAAATAAAATAGAATCATGAATTATTGTCAGGGAGATCAACTTCCATTTCTGCTGCCAACATCCAGCTCTTGTGTCTTGGACTGTTTTCTTCAAGCAAAATGCATTACTTTCGGATCATCCTTTCTCTGATGGAACCTATTGTATACATGGATATATACACGATATTAATTTGCGACATAATTGAATGTAGTTTTACATTACATTTAAAACTAGCAAGTTTTGTATATGCATTTGAAAAGGCAACATGTAATATATTGCTTACAATGTTAGTTGACGGTATTATCGAATTTGTACCCGTTTATAATCATCGCTGAATCTAGCAGCGTTTAACGTGTAATCGAATTTAGCTTAGTTTGCGATATAATTGAATCTAGTTCGGTTTAAAATACATTTAAATCCGGTATGTTTACATCCTACACAATCTATATTGTGTAATGGTGATTGAAGATACACTTTCGTCATTGTAGCTTTGAAAAAAAAATGCTATAGTTTCGTGAAATCTAATACACTATATAATAAAATCATTTGTTAGCATCGAATTTTACGCGGCATACAAGTGTGCCATTTAAAATCCATTATTTATAATGAAACTTTAAGATAAAATAAAACCTCGATGGATTTATTATCGTGGAAGACGAAGTGGACGTGATAATCCGATAATAATGAAAAAAAAATCTAAAGATTACAATGTTCGTTGTTCACATATTAATATTTATTTTATGAAACAAAGTTAGCAAGATTTATAATGAAGTAACTGTTTACAATATTCTAAAATCTTGGAAGACATATAACTGAATCTTATATATAAAATACAATATGTGAGTGTGTTTGTGCGTGTCTGTGTTCCCAAGCAACTCCGCCGCTCCACTGATTCGATTTCAATAATTCATAGCTCATTCATAAACCCTAGAAAAGTTAAGCGCAGGGAACGCTTTTCATTGAGCTCAGATTCACGAATGCCAGATCATGCGAGCTTAAAAATATATATTAATATATTATACTATCCATTATCGTTGCTTTCATGGTTCAAGTGTAGTAACTATTATCTTCTGTTCGTATCCAAAATTTCAGTGCATGTTTTATTGCAAACTAGATTAAAAGCCGCCCTGTTTTTTACATGTGTATTTTTTCTATTTTTTACTACTGATATTATTATTATTATTATTATTTTCTTTCATTTCTGGTGTGTAAAAATTTGTTTCCGGGTCCCGCCCAGAGACCTAAGGTTATCAATGGCACCATGACATTTCCCACAGACTAATTAACACAACCCCACCCCCAAAAAAATATTTTATATTGATAAAGCCCTTCCTAAGTTGTGAGCTGTACACGTGTGCACATTTTTTTTTGTATTTATTTAAGGTATCAGCTTTCAGGAATCCCTTCAATGAGTCAGAGGCTTCTAACCACAACAACGACTGCTGAAGTTCCCATGTGTCACATTTTTGAAATTTTGATTTCAAGGACCTTGTAATTTGATAGCTTTTTGAAGATTTTCAAAGATATATTGCAGTGTGCAGGAACTGCCATATCAATAAGGTGGCAATTTTTTGTATGCGGTCTCTAATAACAATGTCTGGGAGATCAGCTTTGAATGTTCTGTCTGTGTGTATTGTGTAGTTCCATAAAATTGTAACATGTCCTATCTCCTTAACCGGGTTTGGTTGGTGTTCATACCAATTTCTTTCAGCTCCTTTCCCGTAGATGTTGCAGATTCTCCAGTGCAGATATTAGTCAACTCTATCGGGCCGGGTTTTATATACAGTTGGCGCCAATACCTTGCAACCTGATCCATTGTTTTATTATTATTATTATTATTATTATTATTATTGTCAGATTCTATTATTAATTATTTTTATTTTTATCATTATCGTAATTTCTTTATTATTTTAATTTTTTATTATTGCTATTATTGTTACCATTATTTTAATTATTTCTTATTTGATTTTTTAACTACATATTAGATAAATCTTGCGCCTTTATATATATATATATATATATATATATATATATATATATATATATATATATATATATATATATGTGTGTGTGTGTGTGAAAATATATAGAAAATAG